TGGAAAATTTTAGTTCTCATGTCCTTTAAGTTAATAATTGTGAGTTGACATGTGGAGTCTGAACTTCTGAACAACTCTTGAGAATTCCTTTCCCCCCACCCCCAATGCTGGAGGTTGAAGGACACAAGTAATTATGTGTCTGAGATCTAGACTACAGTTCCAAGTCTGGCACCATTTCCAGAAACTCCCTGGAATGCCCTTATGACAGCCAAACTGTTCTGGACCTTTTACCATCACTTTGAGAACACTCTAGAAACCTTAGACAAGTCCAATAAGCACAACTGAAGGTATGATCCAAGTACGACCACTCCAAACAACCAGCACAGGACCTTGGAAAGCAGCATTGTATGCAAAACAAGCCTTAGTGAACCTCAGATGATGCTGTAGGGAAATTCATTCAAGCCACAGGAAGAACACCCTTTCACAACCTCCGTAGAAGGCTGTATAGATTGAAATCCTTCATTGGCGAATTGTGATGTATGGAGCAAGGAGCCAATGAAGCACATCGTAGGTCCTTAAACTAGGCTTGGGATTAGTGTGCAAAACCACCATGCCATTTACATGCTGCATTTCCTTTTGGGCTATATAACCCAACCACTTCACATGGTATTAGGATTTGCCATGCAATTCTCTTCTTTGAGACTTTCCTGATGTTGAACATTGTTTCAATAAAGTCTATTAGGACTTTGGCTCATTAGGTCTCACCTAAGGCCTTTCCATCCTAGATCTTTGTCACTGTCTGAGCTCATAGCACAAAGAAATAGTGGTGTGGACGACAGTAGCAGATGACAGTGGTGGCAGAGGTGGTGACACCAGCAGCAATGGCAGCAGCATCTGTAGCAGCACTGGTATGGGAACTAAGAAGCCAAGAGAGCTACTAAAACAGCAGGTGGGATGTTGGAGAAGAACGAAGTTTTTAAAAGTTCTGAGAAGGCCAAAAAATTAGAAGAGAGCTCAGACTGCTAGGGCAGACTATGAAGAGCCAAGGTGCAGACCCTGGTGGTCAGAAGAGGTCCTGAGAAGAGTTATCATGCATGTAGGGTGACAGTCTCCTTTACTTTCTAGCTCAAGAGCTGTGGCACTTGCCCTCCCTAGTTGCTGCCAACGCTAGCTATTGTTAAGAGCTCAGAGCCCAGATACCCAATGCTCACGAGCAGTAATGTTATCTACTCAGTACTTAATACTTTGGGCTGTCAATATTAGCTGCTGCTGACGGTCAGCCTTCCAGGAGACATTATTAATTGTGCTGCTGGCAAGCAAAGCTCACAGGTAGATAGATCCGTGGAGAGCAGCTATGGTGACAAGTTACTTGATCATGTATTGTTTACTTCTGGGTTCTCTATCTCATTCTTTTGCTCTGTATGCCTGTCTTTATGTTAGCACCACACTGTAGCTTTGTAATAAACTTTGATATCAAGAAGTAGTAGTCTCCAGTAATTTGGCGAGGTCATTATAGCTAAATCTATTTTCCCTGAAGTATACCTTAGATGTTTATCCTCAATGTGGTCACATTTGGATGAAAGCAGTCCCATCTCTTCAAGGTCCTTTGCTGGAAATCAAAACCCCAAACCTAGAACGTTAGGTTAGTACTCTATCACTGAGCTACACTCCCAGCCTCTGATAGGAGTTTAAAAAATGATCTAGTTCAAAGGTATTTGACTTATCCGTATTGGATCAGATTTACTCTCTTCTCCCTCAAAAACAATTTCAATAGGTTTCATTGTTCTATTTTAATACGTCTATATAAAACTTTAATCATAGTCCTCCTATTTCACTCTCTTCATAGGCATACCCCTCAACCCCATGGCAGGTTTTGAAAGGCTCTCTCCCGTGCACATGCACATCCTTGGGCCTAAACTCAGGGCTTGGGGACTGTCCCGAGGCTTTTGAGCCACAACTCCACTTCTGACTTATTTCTAGTTATTGGAGAAGAGAGTATCATGGATTTCCTACCTGGGCTGGTTTTGAACTGTGATCCTTAGATCCGAGACTTCTGAGTAGCTAGGATTACAAGTGTGAGTCACAGGCACCTGGCATAATTTTTTTTTTTTTTTTTTTAGGTGACCATTTTCATTTGGCCCAATGATTGGGCTTCACTCAATTTTGGCTGTTTTTGAGAAAAGTGCTTGGCACAAATTGCTCCAGTCTGACTCAAGTTCAGATAAGTTATATTGGAGGGTTTTGGTTTTTTTTTTGTTAAATCACAGCATAGGGCTCCTATTACAGTCATCTCTTGGTTTTTATCTGGTATACTAGCTGGCTAACAAGAATGGTTTGCTGTTTGCCTAGAGCTACAAGATCCTTTCTAAGTAATTTCCACTAAAGATCTTTTAAAACACTTACTTGAACTTTCATACATTCTATTTCATATAAACTCAATTTGGAGTGGTTACCTTTGGCAAACTCTCGTCACTGCTCCAGATACTAGGAAGTAGGTGATAGGGTAGATACTAGGGTAGGTGAACTCAGGGTCCTCTAGACCTGATTCTCCCAATAGGGACCTCTACCTCATTTGTGACCTGCAGTAAGGGTAATTGGACTCATAGTTTTGGTTTGTTCTGCCTAGGGTATGTATGAGAACTGGGTAGGTGAGGAAAATCCACTACCTTTTGGCTGCAATCAGAGAAATTTAGCTTCTGTAATATTTGGAAGGGATGAACGATCGTGAAATCCCCACACTGGTGATACTGCGTCTTGAGGCTGGAAATTGGTTTTGGCCAGAACTACTCAGAAAGCTGAAATGTGTTTTGGAGTTACCATCAACTGAAGGTGATGAAGGTCTTGGCTCACTATCACAGGATTCTGAGAAGTATGTTTTTGTTGAACAAATGTTTATTTGCTGTATATTACTAGGGTGTTTTCTACAGATTTCAAGTATTTGTCATTACTAGGAAGCAGGTCTGCAAAGTTCCTGCCATCTTACAAGTGGAATCTCCAATGCTGATTTTTTACAAACTGTTTAAAATTAGTATTTAAGGAGTATAATATGCATTTTATTTAATAGTTATCTTTAGCTTTATACTAAGGTAAATTGAAAAAAATACATAGAATTGCAGTGTAACTATTCCTTTCCCCCAAATTCATAGCTATTTCTGTTATCTTACACCCAAGGAATAGCTTCAACAGATTAAATTATTGTAATATTGTATATATATTTTAGTCAATATTTACTTTCTTTTTTTTGGGGGGGGGAGGTCCGGTCATGGGGCCTGAACTCTGGGCCTGGGTGCTGTCCCTCAGCTCTTCAGCTCAAGGCTAGCGCTCTACCACTTGAGCCACAGCGCCACTTCCGGCTTTTTTCTTTTTGCTTATATGGTGCTGAGGAATTGAACCCAGGGCCTCTGGCATGCAAGGCATGCGCTCTACCACTGAGCCACCTTCCCAGCCCCAATATTTACTCTTTCAAATAAAAATTTACCCCCAAGAGGACTCCAATAATGTAACTCCTTTGAATAACTTACCAATTAACAAAATTAGGAAATTGGAACATGTTTTGTCAGAGGAAGTGAAGATCAAGAGAGAGGGCAGATGAATGCAGGGGAATGGTGAGCAAATCAGTAATAATATTCAATGTACATATGTGAAAATGTAACTTGAGGGGATGGGTGGGGGGGGGAAGATGAGAGAAAATGATGCAATGGATGACATCGATCAAGATGCACTGCCACGTTGGACTGAAATCCCTTTGTTCAACTACTAAAGCAGTTAGCTATGTATACATAATAAAACACTTTAAAACAAAAAATTACAAATACTCAAATATCCGAGCTTTCATAATACGCATTTCTTTCAGGATGAGTTACTGCCATGTATCAGCTTTCAGTTTTTACTGTTTTCTTCAGTAATTCTACTAAAGCAGGGTACCCAGCAATAATTTCTTGGTCTTCACTAATCTAGAGGTGTCTTATTAATTTTGGTCTTCACTAATCTAGAGGTGTCTTATTAATTTTGGTCTTCACTAATCTAGAGGTGTCTTATTAATTTTGAAGAATAGTTTTTCTGGATGCAGAATTTTTGGTTGACAGTTCCTGTATTCCCATCATGTCAAATACGTTATCATCTGACTGCCATGTTTTTGATAATTTCCTTGCTTCTTTCAGGGTTTCTCTAAGTCTGATTAGGAGGGCTAAGTGAAAATCTTTTTGTTTATCCTATTTCACTGAAAACTGCTTTTATCTGTATGTTAATCATTTTAAATGAAATTTAAGGGCTTCCAGCTATTACCTCCCAACAATTTTCCATTTCCATTCTGAGACTCTCCTTCCATGGGCTGCTATTTGGGATGTTCCTACATATCTCTTCACAGCTTAGTTATCATGAAATGGGACTTTCTCTTAAGAAGTTAAGTTTCTTCTGGTTTCATTTACCTTTTTGTTTTTGTTATGCCAGTACTGGGGCATGAACTAATGGTACCCCATTATCTCTGGACTTTCTTGCTCCAGGAGAGTGCTCTAACATTTGAGCCACCTCCACTTTTCAGTTTTTTGCTGATTAACTGGAGATTAAGAGTCTCAGAGACTTTTCTGCCTGGCTGGCTTTGAACCACGATCCTCAGATATCAGTTATCTGAGCAGCTAGGATTACAGGCATGAGTTACAAGCACTTAGCTTTCCATTTACTTTAAAACACCTAGTGCACTATTGATATCCATTTAAAACTGTGGTATTGTATTTTTATTTCTACTGAGAAATAAGAGGGGTATAGCACTTAAGATTTCCATTTTTCATATACATCATAAGAAGTGATAAAAGTGAAATCATTAATTATCTTATATGAAGAACTCTCTTCATATACATGAACTAATAGGGAGAATGAGAGCAGAACAAAATTGCTCCTCAGGAATTTATAAAATCTTAAATGTGTTCTTCAATGAAAAGTCAAATACATTCTAAAAAAAAGGGTAGTTCTGAGAGATGTGAAGGCTACATATGCTTCTTAAAACATGCTGTGCCATATCTTTGACTCTAGCACTGCCACAAAAAAAGAAAAAAAACAAAAAAGAGTGTCACATGTTTTATCTTTGTTAACTTTTTGGTTACATCTTATAAACTCTTAAAAAGATAGGAGCTCTCTCAACTACAGACAATAGAATTACTTCTTTATCAACACTATAAGGCTAAAAACAATAAACTATTTTCCCTCATGTACTCAAAATTCTAATCTTCATTTATGAATCTGCTTGCAACTATGTTATTACCAAACAGTATATAGCACAGAAACAAGAAAAGTGGCTTAAGTCTAGATATTATGATAGGTTTTTTTTCTAATACACATAATTGTACAAAATTTATTATAAAAACCTACATATACAATAAATATTTGGTCAAAAGTCTCTTAAAATTAATCATGATGAAATGTGTAGAAAGAGACATTTCAAAGTCGTAGCAGTTACTACTTTTACAATATTTAATCATTTTTACAATAGGCTTGCCGGTCCATTTCAATTATATTTGTTCTCAAAGCCATCACATCTCTTGCTGAATTTCTTTTAGAGCAGAAGCTAGTTGCTTAATTTTTTCCTCCATTGCTTTTTTGTTTTTGCATGTTTCTTCCAGAAGTTCACGCATTTCTTCTTCAACTCGATAAACCTAAGGCAATGTATGAATGTTACATTTTAATTTCCTAAGGTAAAGGCATTTAAAAAAATACTTTCTAGAAGAAATGTCAACAACTTATTCTTCCATATGTTGTAACTGGGATTCACTTACTGTAAAATAAGGTTAGTAAAATGTAACTGGTCCAAATGCTAATAGGGAAAACATGTTGATAGAGTAATCAATGCACTTTCATTTATATAATCTGTTTAGTGCTCATTAGACTCTTCTGAAAAAGATAAAACAATGTATTGCAATTCTATTTTAGGCCTAGAAAATTTGTTTGAAATTGTGCAATTTCTATCATAGTGTGGCTAGAAACTCAGTTTTCATATTTTATCTCACTATTGCCTATAAAATGCTGAGTTCTAAGTTTAGTTTAACTTAAGCACCAATTCCTTATAGATTTTCAAAACTGAAACAACCTTCTTCCTCAAGAAACAAACTCCACTCCTCTATGATCTCTGCATCTGATACTGTCTAGTTCTGTTTGTAACTAAAACAATACTACACTTCTGATATACTACCAATATGTTCATCTTTTTTTCTACTTTATTGACATTGTCATCCAGAGATCATGAAACAAGTATACATTGGGATGAAACTTAGAATTTTGCTTCTTACCAGAATTATGTTTTGCAATAAATCTAAGTTTACTAAGCTTGGTTTCATGATACTTTTGATAACATTCTTGATATATTAGACTATAAAATTATCTGTTTTTAATTTCTAAGGATTTATTTGGATATAAACATTTAATATTGATTTCTAGAGTGAATTTTATTTATAGTACCTTTAAATTTGCAGAATCAATACATTTTTGCTTTTCAGATGATAGTTGTGATATTTCAGCTTGATGAGCTTCAACAATTGCATCAACTTGCTTTTTAAATGCATCATCCATACTATGAAGCTTTTCTACTGCATTCCTTTAAAAAGAGCATCAGTAAAAAAATAAATAAAAATAAAAAAAATCCCCTAAAGACTCTCGTATGTGTGGGTGTGTGAACTAGGTATATTTTTGCTACTCATACGTTAGGTTATTGATGTTGCTGTGCATGTTGACATGAGAACTGACCATTAAACCTATTTTTTCTAGGAATTTCAACAGTATAAGTTGTTTCAACAACTGTTATTTATATGTAGCAAGATAAACATTATTTCTATTAATTGTTCTGTAGAATGCATCTGAAGGCAGAGACAGGTACATTTTCTTTCTTTAAATTTAAAATAATCTTGTGTAAGATTGCTATCTAAATCTTCTCCATTCTTATCAGAATCTCATCATTACTGTGGCCAAGTGACTTTCTTCTCTAAAGAGAAGTTTTTTAAGTGTAAATTAGTCACAGCTGACAGTATCACTTTCATTCCAACAGTTTTAAAGCAATACTATAATAAAAACAATATGCTCATACAGCAATTATTATGTATCAGACACTGCTCTAAGAAGTATATATTTCATAGAGCCATATATATTAAAAATATATACATATATGTCAATCTTAGATCTAACAACTTTAAGGAAACTACTACCTTTTACAAACAGAATGAAGTTCTTGGCAAGCAACTATTCCTACATATTTTTAGTATTTTCTTTCAACCAGCTCCCTTCAGTGTTCATGTTTCAAGGAATCTCATGTCCTTTAGAATTTAACACTTACTTTTGTAGTTCAATACTTTTGTCTCTTTCTGCTTTAAGTTGTCTTTCCTTGTTTTCAAAATTTTCTTTCACTTCTTTTACTTGTGTTTCAAGATGAGCTAGAAGTTCTCCTTTATCATGCCATTTCTGATTAAGTGAACTAAAAGTAATTTAAGAGTAAATTATTAAATCATATTTCATCTCCTTCAGTACTGGGGTTGAATTTAGTGCCTGTACATGCAAGGCAAATGTTCTACACTGAGCTTTATTCCTAAGTCCTTTTATTTTACTTTATTTTTTTTTGGTCAGTCGTGGGGCTTGAACTTGAGGCCTGGGTGCTGTCTCTGCACTCCTCAGCTCAAGGTGAGTACTCTACCACTTGAGCCAGTGTTACTTCTGGTTTTCTGAGTGGTTTACTGGAGATGAGTCTCACAGCTTTTCCTGCCTGGGCTGGCTCTGAACTGTGATCCTCAGATCTCAGCCTCCTGAGTAGCTTGGGTTACAGGCATAAGCCATCAGCGTTCGACTTTTATTTTAATTGAGACAGGGTCTCAGTAAGTTGCTCAGGAAGGCCTTAACTTTATAACCAATTTCTTTGCCTCCTGAGTAGTTGGGATTATAAACATATGCCACCACACCAGAAAGCCACACATTATTTTCTCAGTGGAATATATAATACCTGTAAGCTTTTCTAATTTCTTCAAGTTCTATTTCCTTTGCTTTCAACTGCTGTTTCAGTTTTTCTTTTCTTTCATTGTGTCTTTCTAATTTCTCAATTACAGTATCCAGTTCTGTACATTTTTCGTCAAGTTGCTCTTGAGTACATTTTTCTACTTCAGTCATCTTTTCTTGTAATAGTTTGATTTGTTCATCTCTTTCTTGTAAGCACTTTAAGATAAAATCAGTATATTAATTAAGTTTAAATGTTTCATAGTTTGATTAACCAGACATAATTTAAATTATTACTTAAAGGATACTGAACACATAAAATAATTTCTCTTGTGACAGCATATTCAAGCTAATAATCAGGCAGCACTTTATTTATTTATTTGGGTCTGGTCGTGGGGCCTGAACTCTGGGTCTGGGCGCTGTCCCTCAGCTTTCCAGCTCAAGGCTAGCGCTCTACCACTTGAGCCACAGTGCCACTTCCGGCTTTTTTCTTTTTGCTTATGTGGTGCTGAGAAATTGAACCCAGGGCCTCAGGCATGCAAGGCAAGCGCTCTACCACTGAGCCACTTTCCCAGCCCGTCAGGCAGCACTTTAGGAGAAAATATTATAAATAGGAATGAACTATGATACTATGTTTTAAGTTCTTTAATAATTGCAAACCATGGAGATAATCTTTTTTGGATATTTTGCTCTGGACAGATGTTCAAACTTGCCATTGGCTCTTTTCTCAAAATCAAATGCCAAACTTACATCTTTTAATTTTCTAATTGTCTCTGTCTGGTCTTCCATGATTTTATTTTTTATTTTTAATGCATCACTATCATTTTCGTTTGTCTTTCTCAGAGATTCATTCTCTCTACACAGACTTTCTATTTGAGCCTCTAATTGTCCACGAGTTTGGGATAAAGATGACCCTAAAGAACAAAAGGAAACAAAAAATAAGTTAGAAACATAAAGAACTTGAAGGTTTTTCCATTTTATAAAAGCCTAATCTAATAATGTAAAAGACAGTAAATAAAAACTGAATAAAACCCCAAAACACATTTCACAATATGATGAGGAGAAACAAACAAAAAGCCTTCTCAAAATTTTGGCTATTAAAAGATATAAAAATCATGAATAAAACCAATCATCATAATTATTAAAAATTTCACCATCACATTAATAAATGATTAATTTAAAATAACTGCATAAGAATTAGCATTGATGATTTATTTAGTTAACTATTATAAAAGTATACATGGTTCAGGAAAGTAGCTAAATTATATAGCCATGAGAACAATAAAAAATATCAGTGCTAACAGAACTGGGGTGTTTTCTCCATAAAGAAATAATAAACATTAAAGGAAATACATGTTTTGAATCTTGATTTAAATGTTGCAAAATGCATATATATACACCATGTAGTATCCCAAGAATATATTCAATTTTTCTTTTCAAAAAATCTGTGAATTATTTTTTTTTTTTACATGACATCTTAAGCTGGGGATAGTAGCTCATACATGTTAATTCTAGAGTTCAGGAGGATGAGATAGGAAGATTCAGAGTTCAAAGCCAGCCAGTGCTACACAGCAAGATACTTATCTCAAAATACAAAGAAATAAATTTAAACAAACCTGTAGACTTTTTAAAAAAGTTAGTATTGCTGCATTGCCCTAGTTGGTTTTAAACTCCTGGATTCAAGTGTTTCTTCTTTCTATTTAATGTCTGCTGAGCAGTGGACAGTGCTGCTATGTCTGGCCGCTATAATTTCTTAATTGACAAATTAAGAATTAACTTCTCAATTTTCTGTTTCCACAGAGGTTTTATTCTTGTTTGACTGCCAAATCCTTTCAGATAAAGGGTCATCTTTTCTCTTGGCATCTATTGGCAGTTAAGTCCATTATTTCACTGGTTTTTAACAGTGGTTATTATACATTTGAAAATTTGAGAATTTTACCCTGTTTTGCCAGTTCATGCCCCCATACTTTTCTTTCTGTTCTTAAACCATAAATCAGTGATTCCTTTGCAGCTAGCTCAGAAATAAGCTGGACTTTCTCATGCTTGAGGAGTTCTATTTGAATACTCTTCTGCTTGTCATCTTCAATCAAAATTCCAAGAGTGTTGATTTGATTCTGTATATACCCCAAACATTAAAAAAAAAAATCAGTCATGTGTTTTAGTTCTCACTGTTGAATCTTATAATGAAAAAAAAGCTATACAAAGTAAATAAAGACAAAGTAAATTTTAACCAAATTTTATATCACAAGTTTTAGTTTCATTAACTAAAGATACAGTATAAAGCAAGAAAATAAAACTTAAGAGGCCACTTCTTCAAACTCTGAATTTTGTTCTAAAGCTCTAACAGAGAAACCATGCCTGTAATATTTAAACTTGCTCATAATGCACTTAAATGAAAAGTGTACACATTACTTTTCCACAAGTTCACTTATACTGGGTAAAGTATTATATGTTTATTTAAAACTGAGACAACAGTAATAAAGACATTAACTTAAAAACTATTATAGTTAAGGGTATTTAAAAATCACCAACATTACCATTACAAAATTAACGTCAGCTATTCAAGTGGCTCTTTCTAAATGCACTTCAATACTACTTGAGGATGCTTTTCCTATTTCTATATTATCACTGTAAAGCAGGTACTTATTTAACATGGTTTAAAAAGTAAATCTATTTGTTTTTTATGTAAATACACTTTTAATGTAAGCCCTACAATTTGTGAAATAGTAAGTTTAATCTCTCCTCAGTTGTGTTTTCTGATGTACATTAAACTACAAAATTAGGATAATCTAAAAGTTCATTTTGTGTACTTCCAAAGGCCATTATAATATGAGACAATGTAAAAAAAAGTTGTAAGATTTTACCTGTAAATTTGCCGCTGTTTCCTGCTTCAATTTGGAAACTTCTGCAAGTTTTGATTTTTGTTCTTTCACCATGCAGGTCAAATCTTTTATTAAAGAAGAGGATTCATTTTCTTTTCGTTGAGCCCAAATAAGGGCATGTTTACTCTTGGCTAACTCTGTTGCCACATTCTGAAAACCATCTTTGACCTGTAATTCAAAATTGCATTATAAATGGCAGTTCTTCAAATAATAAGAAAATATCTGCATACAGTAGTTTGCCTTTCATTTTCATAGTCAGTTTTAGCAAAAGAGTAAATTTGCTTTAAACTACAAATGTTGATGATGAAAATGACACAGTGAGGTTAGTCACTGGTCCTTATTAGAGAAAGTATACCTAAGATGAGAATTCATTATGACAAATATTTAAGTTTGATATATGCCAGCCATTGTTGTATGTACTACAATAAATTAATGAACAACAAAGACTAAAATCTTTGTCAAGTTACATTCTCATTTATACATTATGGATGATGTGATCACCATAAAAAGAAGGAAGTAGGTTCAAGGATGGAAAGAGGAAGATCCTAAAGTAACACAGGTGAGGGCTAGGAATGTAACTTAGTGGTATAGTGCTTGCCTAGCATGCACGAAGCCCACGGTTTGATTCCTCAGTACCACATAAAAAATGCCAGAAGTGGTGCTGTGGCTCAAGTGGTAGAGTGCTAGTCTTAGCACATAGAGGCTCAAGGACCGGCAAAAAAAAGTAATTCAGGTGAAAGGAGTTAAGAAAATAAGTTTACAATTTAGGTGAAAGGTCCAAGCTGTAGATATAATCAACAATTTAACAAGAGATTGATTGTGTCTACAGAAGAAAAAATTGAACTTGGGCATTGCAATAATAAAAGTTTGGAGAAAATGAGAGAAAATGACTAGAGACTGCAAAGAAGTAAAATAACAGAAAGCTGAGAACACCAAGAGATGGTAAGCAGGTAATCAAGAGAAGTGTCTGGAGGGAAGGGAGGGAGACACTGTCCAAGGGCTGCTCCTAGGTCTAATCAGGTGAGTAATACATTGATAATTTTAAACACTGTGGATGTTACTGTCTTCTCACCCACAGCAATACTAGTAGAAGAAGCCTAATCAGAGCATGTTAAAGAAGGAACTAAATTAGGGAAAGCAAATCTATGCCTTTGAGAAGTTTTATTCCAAATGAAAACAGAGAAACAAGGTGGTAGTCAATAGAATCAAGACAGTGTTCTCAAGATGAGAAAAATCAAAGCATCTACTTAAATAGCAGGGAATGGTTCAATAGAAAGGAAAAACTGCTGATATGAGAAGAGTACAAGGGTAAGAGGGAAGATTTCCTGAAGCCCTATTCTTTTGTAGGCAAGAGAAATGGGATCTAGTTTACAGTTGGTATGATGGACATTAGGAACAAGACTATTCTTCTACAGCAGGGATTGCCTGCCTTTTTTTGGAAGCCAGACATTATGGTCTCTACTATAAATCTCTATGCAGCTTTTGTGCTACAAATCAGCCACAGATAATATGTAAACAAATAAGGCTCCTTTACAATAAAACTATCCAAGAAATAGGCACTGGGCCATATTCAGCCTTAGGGGTTTCAGTTTTGCCAACTCCTGCTATACAGAAATAGAAGAGAGGGCTAGCAAGTTGGCTCAGTGGTAGAGTGCTTGCCTAGCAAGCATGAGGCCCTGGGTTCAATTCCTCAGCATCACGTAAGCAGAAAAAAGCCGGAAGTGGTGCTGTGGCTCAGTGGTAGAGCACTAGCCTTTAGCTGAAGAGCTGAGGGACAGTGCCCAGAGTTCAGGCCCCACAACTGTCAAAAACAAACAAACAAACAAACAAAAAAACCCAACAGAAATGGAAGAGAATTCAGGTTTCCCAGGTCTTATTTCATTATACTTCATTTATAATCATAACTGGTTTTTGCAATAGCAATGAATACCTGCTATATATATGTGAGGAAACTAAGGCTCTAGGATTTTGTCATTTTTTAAAGTCACATAGCTAACATAGTGTTATGTTTCTGAAATTTAGTCTTATAGTCTCCTTATCAAATTATGTATTTTTACTAATTGTTTCTAATAAAGATGCTAATTCTTACGTCTCTAAATCTTCGGGCTTCAACAGTTAAAGCAATACGAAATTCATTTTCTAAATCCAGGTATTGCTGATTTAATATATCAATTTTTTCTTGGTAGTCTTTTATTTCTTCCTCATGCTTTCTTTCTTGTTTGGATAGTTCGTTAGCTAAGGCATCCTGGAATTCTGTATCATTCAAAAAGTCCCTTGTTTCAAGTTCCTTCCTGGAATGTAAAACAAATACAAATCAAAGGATATTGTTGGTGTAAAATAAACTTAAAGTTTTAAAAAATTTTCTTAATAATTTATATTCTTCAATATTAAAGGTCAACTCTTTAAAATGCAGAAATTGGGTATAGATACATAAGAAAAAAGCTGAGTTTTTGTAAAGTTTTTGTTTTTTAAATGTGGCCTTTTACAGAAAATATCTATTGAACCTTGCCCTAAAAGAATGAATATCAGGGCTGGGAAGTTGGGTAAGTGGTAGAGTGATTGCCTCATATGCATGAGGCTCTCAGTTCGATTCCTCAGCACCACATAAGCAGAAAAAAGCCAGAAGTGGTGCTGTGGTTCAAGTGGTAGCCTTAGCTGAAGAGCCGAGGGACAGCACCCAAGCCCAGAGTTCAGCCTCCATGACTGAAAAAAAAAAGGATATCAACTAAATTAACTAACAGTTACTTGGGTGTCCATTAAAGTACCTTTCTCTATACATAGTGATCAGTGTTTGTGCTTAGACTAAAAAATAAACTTCATTGTAATGTCTCAATTATACATCTCAAACAGTGACAAAAAACGTCACCTCATTTTCTAGCCACGAGTTTTTACTATAAGGTTATTTCTAATGCACACATTTGGTATTACTATGCGGTCATTATGTGAGACTTCAGAACAGTAAGAGTCTTTACATATTAGGGAGGAGTAAAACCTAGATCTTTCTTTTTCTAAATAGCAATAGGTCTCTGATACATTTTTCACTTACATATGTTCCTGTTGTTTTAATGCCAGAAGTTGATGCAGTTGTTGTACTTGTTCTTTTTCTTGGTGAAGGGAAGTTCGGAGTAAGTTTATTTCTCTATCAGCAGCTGAAGCTTTGAGTTCTACCTCTTTGATAAGTCTCATCTGAGTAAATATATAAAATTATAGTACTTAGATAATAATCTGTTTTGATGCTAGTTTCCATAAATGTTATTTAAATGACAAGACCTATGGATTAAGGTGATTTTCAAGTATTATTGAGTTAATGCTGTGATCACACAATCTTGGCCTTAAAAGCCCCTATATACCAGCATTAAATAATGCTCATCTTAGCAACAGTCTGATGAGAATATCCAACAGTAAGCATGAAAATGAAATTCTTTCAAGCACCCAAACACTCCAAATTTAGCTCTGGTAAAACAAAAACTAACCAACTGCAATGTTTTTATCATTTTGTTTAGTGTTTTGACATTCAATAAACTACATGATTACTATGTAATTAAGTTTTGTATGTAGCCTAATGTCATTTAGGCTTACTTATATGTATGCTTTGTTTCAGTTAGAAATTTGTTACTCCATATCATAGATACAAAAAAATAGAGAAATACCTGTGCGGCCTGCTGCTGACCTTTTTGCCTTTCCATTTTTTCTAATGCTCTTTCCAGAGTTCTTAAGTGTCTAAGGTGATCCTCCTGTTGATCTCTTGCTTTCATTAATTCAATAGTTAGTTTTTTAATTTCATTTTGAAGTTTGTGTACCATAATTTCAAGTTGTGACTTGGAATGTCTCTCTCTCAAAATAATGTCCTTTAGTCTAAAGCAGAAATTATAGATGGCAGTTAAGTATAGTATGCATAACAAAATGATAGAAGTTATTGCCAATATTTACGTTTACGGGAGAAAGATCTGAGATAGGTTTCAAACGCTACAGTAAAAAATGGCTAATAAGGTGGGCACCCGTAGCTCATGCCTGTAATCCTAGCTACTCAGGAGGTTGATATCTGAGAAGTGAACTTTGAAGCCAGCCTGAGCAGGAAAGCATGTGAGCCTTTTACCTCCAATTAACCACCAGAAAACCAGAAGTGGCGCTGTGGCACAAAGTGGTGGAGCTTACCTTTGAACAAAGAGCTCAGGGACAGCACCTAAGCCCCGAGGTATAAGCCCCATGAGTGACAAAAAAATAAAAAATTGTTAATAAGCAATACATGCCTTTCTCCCATCTCTGAATTGAATGTGCCCAAAGGAAAAAACACTAAACATAAATTAGTGAAACACTGTCTTATATAAACTTTAAAAAATACCTAGTGTGTTTTTGGTACTGGTATGTAAGGTTTTATGTGTGTGTGCCTGTCCTGGGGCTTGAACTCTGCCTGGGCATTGTCTTTGAGGTTCTTTTTCTCAAGTCTCTACTTCATGAGAGCCATAACACCAATACCAGCTTTTTCTGAGTGGTTTATTGGAGATAAAAGTCTCACAGACTTCCTGGTTGGACTGGCTTTGAACCTCGAAGATTAGTTCTCAGCCTCCTGAGTACTAGGTAGGATTATAGGTGTGAGCCACCAGTGCCCAGCATATGTAAGTTTTTAAAAAATTTTTCTGTATGCCTTTTTTTCTGTATTCTGTGTGTGTGTGTGTGTGTGTGTGCTGGTTGTAGGGATTGAACATAGGGTCTGGACACTGTCCCTGAGCTTAATTTTTGCTCGACTTTAACACTCTACCACTTGAGCCACAGCTCCACTTCTGTCTCTTGGGTAGTTCACTGGAGATAACTAGGATTACAGTGTGAGCCAGTGGTGCCTGGTGGCATGTACACAGATGAGTAAGATAGTTCTGCCTTTAAGAAACTCAGAATCCGGTAAAGAGAACACAACACATATGGACACATAGCCATGTGAAAAAATATTGTATGATTACTTGCAAGTCAACTTTGTATCACTCAGACACTACGTATTGATCCTAGATTTATAATAGAACCTATTGATTAAAGTTGAAAATGATTAACTAATGTTTAGAAAAGGGATCATTTATTAACTTATATAACCAGACTTAAGAGAAACACTGGGTGGCATTATTCTGAGGGACTAATGAAATCAAGAATATGAATTCTGTTAGAATACTTTTTATATCCAGCTATCTGCTGGATTCCTTATAGACTATGATTGGCAATGGGGTACTGGGATAAGGCCATAAACATCTCTAGGTTCACATTCTAATAGCTCTGAGATTCAAACAAAAAAGCTTGTCTTTCTCTTACCAAATGACAACATAATATCTAAATAGTAATTTCAATTTTAAGATAAACAATTGAAATAAAAACTCCAAGAACCAGCTTTGTTCATTAAAAAAAAAGAAGTATGAAAATATGAATGATTTCCCTTCCATTATCTCCATGACTCAGTCACAGGGTTTCTACAAACTTGTCATTATGTAATGTTGACTGTCAGCAAGAAGAGTGCAATTGTCTTTAGATAGTCAGAGTACCATTAATTTATTGATCCTCTTCTCTCATCCTTGCCTAGTATCAATTCAGAGACAGCAATTCTCAAAACACAAAAAAAGGTAGGAGGGTGAGTGTGTGTTCGTAGCACAATATGTCATAGCTTGAAGAATTATGCTGAAGTTCTTACAGAATACTTGTTAGGTATAGTAGTTTTCTTTATACAACAGACATAACATCTAAGACAATCAGGCTGGAAGGAAAAAAATAGCACATTGGTATCAAACAAGTTTACTGGTAAAATGTTTAAACTGAAAATTGGACTGAACTGTGCACATCAACTTACTATTCAAATAAGATCTTTTAAGGGAATTATCTACTTACAGACATGAAATAGAACCAAAAACAACCTCTAAACTTGATTTGTTGCAAATATTTAGTCTAGTAACCTAGTATTCACGGAAGGCTAAGTTGAGACAAAAATCAATAGGAGCTCTAGGAAAAAAATCTTACAACCATTAGAGCCAAGGCATAACTTTAAAATAATTATAGAAAATAGAAGAAAAAGGTTATTATAATTTAGAAAACTAGCATTTTCAGAGAATGAAATAAGACACTTAAAAGCACTAAATCTTTACATCAAAGGAAACCATAAACAAAAAAAAATGACATAATAGCTGGTTTAAATTAAGATATTCCAGTTGCAGGTCTGTATTGTTTGTGCTATGAGACACAGTTAGGTTTATATACTTTTCCTTTACCTATCTGTGGTAAGTAGAGCCAGGCTATGAACATCTGTTTTTGCATTTGCTTGTTTATGTAGCTCATCAATATACTCCATAAGCTGCTTTTCAGCTTTCTCAGCTTTCCATCTCATCTCTCTCTCTTCGTCTAGTTGTTCAATAAGGGACTGAAAGCAAAAAACAGAGTTATACCTAAATTTGGAAAAATTACCTAGCTTCTCATGGTCTCAGTTTATTTTTTTAAATTGTATACCTGTAATAGCATCTATTTCAAAGAACCATGGTGAGAATTATATTGATGAAAGTAAAACAAACAGGATAGTGCAGAACACAGTGTTTGGCACATAACTATTCAATAAATGCTATAATAATAATGCTATAATTATTATTGGTTTAATGATAGTTACTTTTTCTCAGCATTAAAGTCTCTAGAGTTGAAAATAAAGGGAGGAATCAAGTAGCAACGATGTATTATTGTTTTCTGATATGATGAACCTATAATTATAATCATTCATTCAGTTTTTATTAATCCTAATTCATACCCGGTAAGTGTTGTCTTCTGAGAAATTCTTTTGTGCTTTAGTCATGTCAGTCTTCTGTTCTTCTAATTCTTGTAATCCATTACACTTTGCTAAAGATGATCTTACATATAAATCTTTAAGGTAAGGTTGTTTCATTTTACGATTACCACTGCAGAGAATAAAACATAAGAAACTGAAATACATTGCTTATACTGTTCTTTTTAAATTTATTCATTCGTATATGCAAGTACCTTAAATATTAAATGAAACAAAACAATAGCAACATGAAAAACTTTTTTCATAAATTTTATAATGGAAATACTTTAGTGACTTGTAAATAATAGCCTCAAGGTTTTAAAAAAGGTACTGATCTCAGTGTTAGGTGTCTGACACATTCAGATAGAAAATCCTTAAATACAACAGAATAATTTAAAAAGTATTGACAGAATTTGGGATCATAATAAAATGGTAAGTTAAAAGTGTACAGGTAACACATATTACAACAGAGTAAACATGCAATATCACTAGTCTGACTGAATGACTGTGCTTGTAGATGAGTGTAATTAGTTATAGAAAGTTAAAATATTAATAAGATAATTTTTTTCTCTTTATGATACTGGAGTTTGAACTCACAGCCTTGCTGTTAGGCAGATGCTCTACCATATGAATTACATCCTAAGCCCTGTTTGCTATATGTTTTTAATAGGATTTATGGCTATGATTGTCCTATTCAGGCTTCTTGCAAAATTAAGATGATTGGCACATACCACTCACTGTGTGTGGTTAAGATGGAGGTCCCAAGAACTTTTCTCTCAGTGATAGAAAACCTCAAACAGTGATCCTCCCCATTTCCACTTCCAGCATACTAAGAATATAGGTATGAACTATATACCCATACAAAAAAAGAGTAAATTAAAGAAAAGAAACTGACATGCTGAGTGCCTGGTTGCTCATGCCTGTAATCCTAGCCACTCAGGAGACAGATATCTGAGGGTTGTGGTCCAAAGCCAGCCCTGGACAGAGACAATTATTTCCATCTAATCAGCAAAAAACAGGAAGTAGAGCTGTGGTATAAGTAGTAGAATGCTATCTTTGAAGCAAAAAAACCACAAACACAAATGCCAAAACCAAAACAACAACAACAACAACAAAAAACTCCCCAAACCAAAAAAAAACCCCATAGACAGTGCCCAGGCTCTGAGCTCAAGTCCAGGCCTCACACCCCAAAACACCAAAGAAACAAACACACGTAAAATGTTTATTTTACCTTAGGGAGAATGATGGAAGGAGGAACACTGACCAAGATACACTGTACCTATAAACTGACACGTTGAATTAAAAACCCTTTATAAAACTATTTAAATATAAGTTTATTGTACCCATCCCAGAGTACAAGGTTTTCTGAACAAAATGACACAATGATCACAATTAGACATGAAACTACCTTATCCTGATGGCATCAAACATGATAATATTATTCACCCTGATCCTAAGCTTAGTAGGTACTATCTAAAGGTTTAGCTTCCCATCTAGATCTGTATACAGAGAAAAAAGCTTAGTCATATCAATCAAGTCCATCACAATCCCAAGTCTATGAATCTTATTTCCACTGTAAATGAATGCAGTGATTTTAACCTTACTTTCTCAAGTTATAGAATGTTACAGAAAAAGTGATCACTTATATCAATGTTCAGCTGTTAGTTTCTGTAGGGATTTGTTCTAAGATCCCTCTTAGCAAAATCTGCAAACAAGTCATACAAAATGTTGTAAGCTAGATCTAACTTACAAAACTATAAGTAAATACATACAGGGTTATATGCAAGTGTACACAAATATATTTATGGAAGTATGGTATATGCAGGGGAGAATCCAAATCATGTAATTCCTTAAATAAACGAATGCAGTCCAATAAAATGAATACTTTGAAACGAATACTTAAGATGTGTGTATAGGGGAGGTCATAGGGGATGGGGTAGAGAATGAAGAGAAGTGGGGGAGGGAAATGCAGTCCTAATATTCAATGAATATCCTAAGACACTAAGAAAATTAAGGGAAGGGGTTGGATTGGGATGGACTAGAGGAGTGACATTAATAAAGATGTGTTGTATTTATAAGCTGAGTTGTTGCATGGCATTCCTTTGTACAACTACTTAAATACAAATAGAATAAATAAAGCTGATAATTTTAACTGGAAAAAAATATGATACTTATAAGATGTAATATTTGCATATAATATAATGAAGTATACTGTAAATCATTTCTATATTACTTATAATACCTGGTATAATAAATGTTATGAGATAGTTGTGATATATTATTTAGAGAATAGTTATAAGAAAAAATCCTCTCATATTCAGCATGGAGCAGCCATAGGAGCAATAATGTAACTTAACATTTTTTTTTCCACCAAAGGTTGAATGACTCCGTGTACACAGAACCTGAAGATATGGGGATGGACTATAGTCATCAGATCTGAGAGAATAAAAATAAAATCTGAGAGAATAAAGATAAAAAAGACTTATCTCTGATGTCAGTAAACTGATACATTTATCACCATGAGACAGCTTCAAGGAAGAACCCAGCCATACTGACTTCTGGTTGTATACCTTATTTGGAAATTAAATCAGTACCTTATAAAAGTGCCATTGTTTTTATTGTGATGCTTAATAGTTTGAATAGTTCTTCCATAGTATGGATTTTTTGGTCTTCTAGCAACTTTTTTACTACATTCTTTTCTGTGTCCATAATCACTTTCAGAAGTTATATCTATGTCTCTTTTTGGTTCTAGATCTTTCTCAGGAACACCATCTATTAAACAGTTAGAGGTCTAGAATAAAAAAAGAGAACAACAAGATTTGTTAAAAGCTCAATTTGGTATAAAAGTCAAAATTTAAAATTTCTGTAACTTTTAAGATATTATACAAGATTAAGGGTTAACAAACTAGATATGTTTTACTTGAACTCTGGGCTTGGGCCCTGTCCCTCAGCTCTTCAGCTCAAGGTGAGTGCTCTACCACTTGAGCCACAGCTCCATTTGTGGCTTTTTTGGTAGTTTAGTAGAGATAAAAACCTCGTAGTTTTCTGCTTGGGCTGGCTTCAAACCATGATCCTCAGATCTCAGCCTCCTAAGTAGCTAGGATTACAGGGGTCAGCCACTGGTGTCAAGCTCAAAACAGACTTTTGGACCTGAAAAACCAGAGGGCCATAGGGGCAGACTACAAGTAGCCCTATGAAGTATAAAGGAAATTAAGTATGAACTGCTGCCTATGAGGAAAAATGATAGTTTAAGTAAAATCAACTTAATGCTAAAAACAAAAATGTCAACACGATGGTAATAGAATCTCCATAACAAAACATTCACGAATGACTAGGATGTAGTCCAAAATTATTCATCATAATAACCTACTGTCAAGAGAAAACAGAATCACTGGAGAACAAACCTAAGATGACCCAAACTTTAAAATAGTAATCACATGTTCAATGAAATTAAATCAGCAACATTTTTTGCAGTTTTATATAATTAAAATATACAATGTCTGAAGAAAAAATAATTGACATCAGAATGAAGCAATATAAAAAGATGAGATAAATGTGAAGAAGTTTTTAGTGGATGAGAATAGAGGGGATGAGGCATGGCTCAGATTGTAGAGTGCTAGCCAATGGAGCAAAGCGGCAGATACTAAGCTTGAATACTCCTCCCTGCTGCTTCCAAATCACTTTTCTGAGTTTTTTTTTAAACCACAGATTATTTTATTTTCAAAAGCTCTTTATACTTAACAGCTTTTATTTACCTCTGTATTCTCTCTCTCTTTTTATTAGGTCTGATATCTGAGGATAGAGGTTAGACGCCATCCCAGGCAGGAAAGGCTATGAGAGACACTTATTTCCAATTAACCACCAAAAAAGTCAGAAGTAGAGCTGTGGCTCAAATGTTAGGAGTGCTATCCTTAAGCACAAAAACTCAGAGACAGTGCCTGGGTGCCATAGTTTAAGCCCTAGGAACAACATAAGCAAACAAATAAAAACCCCATTTAACTAAAAGTTGACTAAATATAAAAAATATTATAGGTTTTCAGAATAATTCCACGAATCAATGGGAGAATTATGATTTTTCTTAAATTTTATTTTTTTTAATTGTGAGAATACCGTACAGAGGAGTTACAATTACATGGGCAAGATAATGAGTACATTTCTTAGAATTATGATTTTTAATGCTCACTGATTAAGTCCTTTAGTACAGCACAGTAATAATGATTTTACTTTTAAACTATCATCATTGACACAGTAAAAAGAATACAACTACACCAGGTACTGGTGGCTCACACCTATAACTCTAGCTACTCAAGAGGTTGAGATCTGAGGACCTAGGTTCAAGCCAGCCTGGGCAGGAAATGATGTGAGACTCTTATCTCCAATAAACTACTAAAAAAAAGCCAAAAATCCAGAAGTGGCACTGTGGCTAAAATGGTAAAGTGCTAGCCTTCAGCAAAAGAAACTCAAAGAGAGTGCTCAGGCCCAGAGTTGAAGCCACAGAACTGGCAAAAAAAAGGAGAAAGAGGCAGGGGAGAAGGAGGGAGGGCAGGAGAATATACAACCAGATTATCAGATTTGGATCTGAAGCACAATTTTATCTTATTAATAAAATATCCTTACACAACAATTTTAAGTCCCTAGTTTTCTTTCTTACACATGGTACAATAATACTCAATACTTCAGATTTAAGTTATTAAGCTTAAATCTAACATTGGTAGGTGTGTCATTAGGTAAGATAAAAAAGCTGGAAGAAATGGAGAAGTCTAAAAATATTGTATCAAGGATGTTGAAGAATTCACAGGACAACAATCCAGTTCTGGTTTTATCCCTATCTACCTATATGACATAAAAGATATCATTTAGGATTATTGAAAATCTGCATGTATCATAACCAAAAGCATTTTCTAATCCTTCCTCTTGTCCATTTTTATAAAGAATTGAAATTCAGTTATAGCACTTGGCAGGCTGAGGCAAGAGGAGGTTCATGAGTTTTAAGGCCAGCCTAGGCTACAACTTGAGACTCTGTCTCAAAAATGGTCCCAAACCAAAAAGCAAAACCAAAAGTCACAAATTTTTAAGTTACATAGATATTGATTTAATGGTCCATACTATGATCTGTACTATACCCAACCCACTGTATTCAATGAAATGTAGTGCCCAAGGCAGGTAAGCAATCATTCTACATGGGGCTGGGAAGGTGGCTCAGTAGTAGAGCACTTGCCTTGCATGCATGAAGCCCTGGGTTCGATTCCTCAGCACCACATAAGCAAAAAGAAAAAAAGCCGGAAGTGGCGCTATGGCTCAAGTGGTAGAGTGCTAGCCTTGAGCTGAAGAGCTGAGGGACAGCGCCCAGGCTCAGAGTTCAGGCCCCATGACTGGACCACCCCCCCAACCCCCCCCCCAAAAAACAATCATTCTGCATTAGTGTAAGAATGTTAATAACAAGGGCTAAAGACCTAGACATTCCATGAATTACAATTCATTCCATTCATTTATAGATTTTAAAAAAAAACAACCCTTAGCCAGGTGTGGGTGGCTCACGCCTGTAATTCTAGCTACTCTTGAGGCTGAGATCTGAGGATCATGGTTCAAAGCCAGCCTAGGCAGGAAAGTCCATGAGACTCTTATCTCCAAAAAACTACTCAGAAAAAGCCGAAAGTGGCACTGTGGCTCAAGTGGTAGAGTGCTAGCTTTGAGCACAAAGAAGCTCAGGAACAGTGCCTAGGCCTAGAGTTCAAGCCCCAGGACCAGCAAAAAACCCCAAACAACAACAAAGCAAAACCAAAAACACCCTAAAAAAATTAGAAGCAATGATATAAAATGACTTAACAATTCAGAAAAGTATAGTTTAGGTGACAGTATGCTGAAAACTGAAATTGAAGCAGGAACCATGTAAGTGAATTAGCCATTCAGTTGTGAATTCTAGAAGATCTATCTATCTATCTATCTATCTATCTATCTATCTATCTATCTACCTACCTATCTATCTATCATCTATCCATCTATGTCAGCACTTGAAATTGAACTTAGGGCCTGTGCTTTTTGCTAATGGCTGGCCCTTTAACACTTGAGCCACTACTGCTAGTTCTGGCTTTTTGCTACTTAATTGGAAATAACAGTCTTTTGTATTTGCATATTTTTTATTATCAAATACTCAGTTCAAAGAGTCCTCAACTTACTTAAAGTTGAAATACATAGTGAAGCAATGTGAAGTACTACAGAACAAGGCAAAGGAATTATATATGAAAGTGTACAAATAAGAAAAATAGAATGTATATTACCATTTTCTACCAAAATTACTATAATCAATACTATTTCTCTAAAAGAAAATACAAATGCACATGTTAATACATCCAATATAGATTGTTTCTGGTTGGTCAGCTTGTACAATTTTTTTTTGTAGGTCATGGGGCTTGATCTCTGGGCTTGGGCACTGTTCCTGCGCTCTTTAGCTCAAGCCAAGTGCTCTACCGCTTGAGCCACAGAGATTGGAGATAAGAGTCTCACGGACTTTCCTTCTTGGACTGGCTTTGAACTGTGATCCTCAGATCTCAGCCTCCTGAGTAGCTAGGATTACAGACGTGAGCCACTAGCATCTGGCATTTATACATTTTTATTTTATATTTTCTTAATTACTTTTTCTTTAGTAAGCATTCGAGGGGGCTTTAGAAAAAGTTACCTCATTGAGAAGCTGTAAAATTTGGTCATCTAATTTCTGAAGTTTCATCTCATTCTGAAAATCATTTTCCTGGTTAATTTTCTCTGGCTCAGATGGACACACAGATAAAAATGATGTCACAACTGTATCTGGTGGTGTACTTCCAAACTGCTCCAAGGGAGGTAACACAGTAGGGGGTGATGATACAACTGGTATGCTATCAATGATCTATGTATGACAAAAAAGCAAATCAGAATCCTTATAAATTTAAACTTACTAATTCATTAAAATTTGAAGGTATATTAGGGGAAAAAAAACAATACTACACCTCATCTTCACTTATATTTTGGGGAGAATCAGAAGAAACTAAGTTATCCAAAAGACCTTCTAAGCACTGCAGGTGTGATGTATTCATTTCTGACAAATTTATTGGTTCACCGAATATATTTTTGCAATCTAATATTCTGAGCTGTGGCAAAGTTTGAAGAATAATTTCTCTGTACCCTTGGAAACAAATTATTCAAAATAATTTAAACATTTTAAAATATTATTTTAAAATAATCCATCAGCTAAATGTAACATTAGTTTCAGAAAGCAATAAGCTTGTAATAAACACTACCTTTTCAAGCTTTTCTAGCATGTAATAACAAAATAAACAAAAGAAACAAAATTGTATCCTTCACCCTCCCAGTATAATCCTCTTGATATAAGTCATGATAATCATTTCTGAAAAATTACTTTAAATTCATGAGACCCAGGTGCAATTTATCCTGCAAAGGAAGCTAAGGATGACATATATTTATTTTTTTCATAAATAGTAACAAATCGAAGTACAGCATATCCTTAATAAAACATCTCCTTGGCCTTATACATAAAAATATTAATATACATGCATCTGTATACAATTTGATATTGCTTATTTTCCCTAAAGATAATTAAATATGAAAAATGCAACACATTAGGACCGACTTGATAATTAAATTAGTAGAAACATTTTAATTTTGCTCAAGTAATTTTAAAATAAAACAGCGCTTACAAAGCTAATGAAGTGGTTAAGTAACTGGAAAACTTCAAAAATAAGAAAAAGAAATCTAGCAAATCCATATAGAACTTTCAAGAGGAGAAAATTAATTTTAGCAATGTTTCCCTTAAGTTGTAGAGCGAAGTACCCAACTTAAAACAGGAAGTCAAACTAAAGATTCAAACTATTGGAAGTTGAAGTTCTTTTCTTTTTTCTTTTTATTTTTTTTTGCCAATCCCGAGGCTTGAACTCAGAGCCTGGGCCTTTCCTTGAGCTTCTTTTTTCTTTTGCTCAAGGCTAAATAACACTCTACCACTTGAGCCACAGTGCCACTTCTGGTTTTCCGGTGGTTTAATGGTGATAAGAATCTCATGCACTTTCCTGCCTGGGTTGGCTTTGAACCGTGATCCTCAGATCTCAGCCTTCTTTGTAGCTAGGATTACAAGCATGAGCCTGTACCAGTTCTGGGGCTTAAACTTGAGATCTGAATGCTGTTTCTATACTTTTCTGCTCTTAGCCAGCAGATAAAAAAAAATTCCTTACTCATTTTTATGTGCACACAATATTATACACTGTAATGACAACATTGAGTTATTCACTTATGTAATATGCAACTGAGTAGAATTAGTAACCTGTTTATTCTATGTTCTTCTTTTATAAAAGAACTTTAGTTTTTCTTAAACTTGTAATTGTTTTTACAATTATAAAATGAAATACCACAAAGCTTAATATTAAAAATAAAAGAAGGCCCAATTTCAGCAAATGAAGGAACCTTAACTCTTTTTTTTTTTTTAAACTAGGGCTGAGAGCCGAACCCACGGCCTTGGGCGCCCTTCCGCTGGGCTAAACCCCCAGCCCCGGAACCTTAACTCTTAACTGATATAGAAGTGTGATATTAGTCCATACCTGGTGTGTGACAGACAGGATTACTTTCTCCATCCTTCTCTAAAATAAGATTAGTCAAGAAGTGCAGTCCTACCATACACTGAAGTAAGTGATGAATGCTATCTATAAAATTACTGTGCAGATCAATATATCTAAGTTTATACTTTAGTCCATGAAGGGGCATCAACCCTGCAATAGAAAAAAGGTTTTTGAGGCAAAGGAGCACTAAGATAAAGCTATAAACTGACACAAGTCTAACGAATAGGTCATCAGTAAGTTAAGCTGTTTTAAAGAAACAAAGGTTCAATACCTCTTTGAGGCTTAATACCTAGGATCCTGGGCTCTGGTTCAAAACAAAACACAACCTCTCTAGATGATGCATGACCTTATATAAAAACACAAAGATTGCTTTAGGTTCTTTTTAACACATCAATTTTGAGTAGAAGTTACAAGTAAATACTATGGAACACTTCCTTATGTTGTTTTGAGTAAAGAAGGCAAACAGCACTCACCTTAGCTCCCTGGGGATATTTGTCACAGGGGTTTGTCTAGAGCATGTTGCAGCAGACACTGATAATTTAAGCAGTAGCTTTTATGGGAAGTGCTCGGTACACTGCCAGTGTGCTCTGTAAATACTAATGGCTTCTCTCATTTCCTAACTCAGAACTTTCTTTAAAATGGAGGAAGGCTCTTGAGCAAAAGTAAAGCCTAAAGTGTGAGGAAATTAGCTGCCCAGGGACTCTCCTCTATCAAAAGAAGTTAGTGGGTGAATTTTTTCCCTTCTTTTGGAAGGACTATTTGGAGCTGTCATTCTATTGTTCTTCAGAGGGCATTATTTCATAACTTTGTTTAGTTTAGCACTCTCTGTACTCAACTTTATCCTTGTTTTTTCACTTTTTCTTTCTTTCTTTTTTGGTCCAGTCATGCGGCCTGAACTCTGGGCCTAGGCGCCATCCCTCAGCTCTTCAGCTCAGGACTAGTGCTCTACCACTTGAGCCACAACACCATTGGGGCCTTTTCTGTTTATGTGGTACTGAGGAATGGAACCCAGGGCCTCAGGCATGCAAGGCAAGCACTCTACCACTGAGCCACCTTCCCAGCCCGGTTTTTTCACTTTCTTCAACTTAAGTAGAATATCCTTTTTCCTCAACTTCCGCATTTATTTGGCACTTCTACTCATCCTTTTGTCTCATCTGCGGAAGTCTCTGACCACCTCTATGAAGTCTAATTTTTCTTTCACACATTTGCACAATACTCACCTTTCCTCATTTACTCTGTGAGCCCTTGGTTCATGTTATTAGTAATCCTTCTTGTGCTTTAATTTTAAGAGCACCTCACAGTGTCTTCCTAAGTTGCTATTCTATCTTAATACTCTCCACAATCTCCCCGTTTCATGGCTACAAATACCATTCAGTGCTTTTACTGCAAAATGTAAAATTTCACCAGGACCTCCCACCACAAAACTAGACTATATGTATACGTGTTTAACGGAGCTCTCAAATTTAAGACAGGAACTTTATTTCTCACCAGATATCTCTAAACCTACTTTTCTCAATCTTTCTTTTGTTAATAAATAGTACTATTATTAACCTAGAGAAAACTTGTAACTCTTGTATTTACATTCTTTTCATTTCCTCTCCTGTCCACCTAAAACCTACTCCCTACCAAGTAGTCACTGTTATTTACAAAATATATATTATCCCTTGGTATAATACCTTCAATGACTTCCACTTGTAGGTAGAATAAAATACAAACTTCTTATCTTACTTATAAACCTGCACTGACCTGGTCTCTGCTGATGTTTTCCTACCTTTTCTTAATGTGGTCACTTATTTGCTATTTTAACACTTGTTTATCACATGGCAAGCTTGACCTTGCCTTAGCAGATTTATATTCTGTGTTGCATTTAAATGTCTTAGTATACAATATTTTGACTTTTTTTTTTTGGGGGGGGTCTGGTTGTGGGGCCTGAACTCTGGGCCTGGATTCTGTCCCTCAGCTCTTCAACTCAAGGCAAGTGCTCTACCACTTGAGCCACAGCGCCACTTATGGCTTTTTTTTCCTGCTTATGCGGTGCTGAGGAATTGAACCCAGGGCCTCATGCATGCAAGGCAAGCGCTCTACCACTGAGCCACCTTCCCAGCCCCTATTTTAACTTTCTTAACAATCACCTGTGAGAACTTAAGAGTTGTCCATTTTATTTTCTTTCTAATCTGCTCACTCTCTGAAATTTTTTTTTTGCTATGCCAACTTGTTGCATTTTAAACTAATGTCCAATATAATTATGAAACTAAAGTATATTAAAAACCCAGACTATTTTTGGATCTTTTGATATCTAGCCTAATATCTAAGACTGCAAAACTTTCATTTTTTTTCAAAATATTTCCCTCTTTGTCTGAACTGTTTCTTGAGAATTTAAAATGCAATATTTAATGGTTTTATTTGTGAATTGTTCTTAGTACTTACCATGCTTGAGAAAAATTTTTGTTTTAAGCTTGCCTTTTTTTTCTGAAAGTTGCTAACAACTGAGTATCTATCTGAAATTTAGTCACTAAAACTCACTCTTTTTTAGGTATAGAGTCAGGACTGAAATATAGAACATTTCCATTACTGGAAAAATTCCCCTGTGTTCTTATATAACTGAAATTCTCTCCCCATGTAAAGCCCCTAGCAACCAATAATCTGATTTCTGCTATAGTTTTGCCTCTGTCATAATACCATATACATGGAACTACATAGTGTAATCTTTTGTTACTGAGTTTTACTCAATGTAATTCTTTTGAGACTATGCTGCTGAACGCTCATTCCTTCTTAGTTCCAAGAAGTATCTAATATATGGATGTTTCACAATTTGTTCATTCATATACCAGTTGTTTTAGTTGGCTTTCTGTCACTATGACAAAAATATCTGATATAATCAACATATAAACAGGAAAGATTTATTGTGGTTTATGGAGTGAGAGCTTTTAGCCATGGTCACTTGGCACCATCTTGGGTCTACACTGACGGGTGCACAGAGGAGAGAGAGAGTTTGGAAAGCAGAGAGTTAGGGGCCAGCGTCCTCAGATCTTCAAAGGCGTGCTCTCAATGGAATAATTTTAAGTAGGCCAAAATTTTTAACGGTTCTACTACCTCCCAACAGCAGTAAAAGCTGAAATCAAGCCCGTAGCTTGTGGGCCCTTGAAGGGAAACCATAGCTCTAGGATTATTAAGAACAATTCAGAGACTGAGATCTCAAGACTGTGGTTTGAAGCCAGTCTGAGCAGGAAAGCCCATGAAATTCTTTTCTTTTGGGTCCCGTTGTGGGGCCTAAACTCTGGGCCTGGGCGCTGTCCCTCAGCTCTTCAGCTCAAGGCTAGAGCTCTACCACTTGAGCCATAGCACCACTTCCGGCTTTTTTCATTTTGCTTATGTGGTGCTGAGGAATCGAACCCAGGGCCTCAGGCATGCAAGGCAAGCGCTCTACCACTGAGCCATCTTCCCAGCCCACGTCCATGAAATTCTTATCTCTAAGTAACAGCAAAAAGCTGGATGTGGAGTTGTGGCTCAAATGATACAGTGCTAGCTTTGAGCAAAGAAGCTCAGGGACAGCACAAGAAAAATAACCATAAGCAAGGTGCTGGTTATTCATACATTAATACTAGCTACACAGGAGGCTGAGATCTGAGGAACAAGGTTTGATGCTAGACTAAGCAGGAAAGTCCATGAGACTCTTCTCTCTAATTAATCACCAAAAGGTCAGAAGAGCTAAGCCTCAAAAAACTCTCAAAATCACAGGGAACAGTACCTAGGCCCTGAGTTCAAGGCTCAGGACTGACAAACAAAACAAAACAATCCCCCTACCTCCACAAACCCTCAAGGAACTATATAATCATATGAATATGTATATATAGGTCTTTGTGTGGGAACATCCTTTAATTTCTTGGGGTTAAACAACTCAAGGGAGACTGTATAAAAATATGTAAGTGTATATTTAAATATCATAAGAAACTATCACTGTTTTCCAAAGTGTGTACAACTTTAATACTACTAGTAAGTTTTAATTGCTCTATAATCTCATCAGTATTTTGCCACTTTTTAAAGCTTTATTCTAGTTGTGAAGTGGTATCTCATTCTGGTTTCATTTTGCATTTCCAAATTATTAAAAGTGCTATCTTTCTTTAAAAAATTTTTAATCTTTTTTTTATTGTGAAAATACTGTACAGAGGGATTACAATTACATGGGCAAGATAATGAGTACATTTCTTATCAAGCATTGTAGCCTCCTCCTTTGTTTCCCGTTCCCATCCCTTCCCATCTTCCTCCCCCCCAATCCTGCCCTCCCCCCGACCAAAGTTGTAAAGTTTGTTTTCGACAAAACAACATGTATATCTCATTGTTGCAATGGGTCCACCTGTATCCCTATTTAAACGATTTGTTTTCCCTTCCCCTCCACAAATTATACCGACCTCAAATACAGTGAAAGCAGGTGTTATACTGTGGGAGAGGGACATACAAAACAACAAAGAAATAATCTTATAAATGTGTTAGAAACAATCTCATGAAAGAAAAAAAACATTTGAATACATATCTTAGGGTAAAAGTGCTATCTTTTTTCTTCATGTGTTTATCTGTCCTTGGTACATCTTCTTTGTAAAGTGTCCATTCAAATCTTTTGCTTACTTGGGGAATGGGGTGGTGCTTAGCATGACTTTTTCTTCTTTCCTATTAAAATGTAAACTGTAAACCCTGTAGCAACATGACTCACACTATAGAAAATGTTAAGTGAAAATACTTACCACTAAGATCATTTATGCGGTTATAAGACAAATTCAATCTAGTGAGATTAATTAGTGCTTCAAGTCCTAAAAAGAAAACATAGCAAAATGAGGTAAAATAGCCTTTATAGGATTTCAATAATTAATAGAGCATAATGATATTTCAGATTGTTTGGGAGCAAATCTATTCTGGCAACAATGAAATCAATTTTACTGGTATTTGAATACTAAATTTTTTTAATTTGGCATTTTCTATAAGAAAACTTACTTTTTTGTGTGCTGGTACTAGGACTTGAACTCAGGGTCTTGTATCCTTGCTTAGCTTTGTTTACTCAAAACTAGTACTCTATCACTTAATCAATAACTCCACTTTAGGCTTTTTGCTAGTTAACTGGAGATAAGTGTCTCTTGGATTTTTCTGCTGGGCTGACTTTGAACCACTATTCTAAGATCTCAGCCTCCTAAGTAGATAGGATTACAAGCATGAGCCACCAGCACCTGGCTCTGTAAAAACACTTTTGTATAATGATTTTTATGGTTAGTTTTCAAGTTCTTTGGAGAACAAAAGAAACCACATTCTTTATGCAAAGTGTTATATGAAAATCACTTACAAACCTTCTATTCTTGTAATCAAATTGCAGGACAAGTTTAAAGTACATAGTTTTGTCAGTGTGTTTAGCCCTTCAATTTGACTTATTTGATTAGATGACAGATCTAAATGTCTCAAATTCCAGATATGATCAATGGCTGTTATTTTGGAGATGTTATTGCAGTGCAGATTGATGGCATGAAGGGTTGATACTAAAGATAACTCTGATATGCTACAAAAGAAAAAAAATATAAAAACATGTAAAAGATTTCAAAAGCATGATCAAATAATTAAAATTAAGGAAATAGCATAAAAACAGGTGTGTACTCCACATATCCTAGAATGAAAATCTTTCTAATTGTGCCTTGAAATGTTTCATAAAACACAGTACTTCTAAACACATAGATCAGTATTCTAGACCATTTACACAAATAAGAAACTACTGAAGGAAGGTGAATGGTCCTGGATATTTCAATTAGTGCCATAAAATGACATTATATCGAATACTGTTTCATCATCATACAATGAAGGAAGAGAGTATGGAATAGTCAAGAATTATAAAGGCTCTAGAATCCTAATACCCTAGTTCAAATCTGTATCTCTTTTTTTCCCCATGGTTTTTTTTTTTTCTCCCCAGGAATTGGCCTCCATCATAAGGTTATTTTCTTGCTTCATTAAATCTTCACAACTCTTAAGCAGCAGGTTTATTACTAGGACCCTGAAGTTTATGGAAATTGCCTATGTTCTTGTAGTTATGTTAGCAGGGACAAGACATAAACCCAGAATTTTATGATATTGCTTTTACTATCTATGATAAAGAATATGGTTGACTTTTCAAAAAAAAAGTCTGTCTTCCCCTATTGCAAGTTAGAATGTACCTCCCCTCCTTTATAGCTCAACTCTTCAGTCTCTCAATTACTGTAAGAAACTGGAACTTCTATAGATGCTAGTAGCTCCACAAAATTAAAGGATACATAAGTCGATGCTAAATAGTATAAAATAAGTTAAAAAAAGCTCTTAAAAACATGATAAAATAATTAAAATTAAGTAAATAGCATGAAAATACTAAATGTGCCCCATTCATTCCAGAATGAAACCCTTCCTATTTGTGCCTTTAACTGTCCTCAAAATATCACTTCCTGAAAAAGAAATCAGTCAGGTACAGGGACTCATAATATTATAGGCATCTGTATTAGGATATTGTAATTACCATAACGCCTAACTAGCAGTAGGAAAGCATTTGGAAGTCTTAAGCTAGCAACTTCTTAAAAAATTATGAGGGATTTATTAGATTGGACTACACCATCAGTGGATGGGTACTTATACAATGACTACAGGCAAGAGCTGAAGAAATTAGCAACTGTTTTGTCCAAGAACCTTAATGCTTCAGGGTAAGAAAACAAAGCTAGCAACATCTAAATGTAAGTTAGAAGCATTTGGTAGTTACCTAGCTACTGACACTTACTGAACTTGTATTTCGTGCCAGACCTTACGCTATAAACGCATTTAAGACAGCCATTTATTTTCTGACACACTGAAGTAACTAGAAACTGACATTGTGCAGATAATGTGGGACACTAGAAAAAAAAAGCACACAGTGAAATCAGAAACGGGTTTGAATCTGAATTTAATTGCTTATCAGCTGCATCAAGTCAGAATTGTTTTCGATTTGTTTATATTCTGTACGTCACACGTTCATAATTTATGGGCAAAATGACTACTATACAGAACTGCTGGAGGATTAGTCGCTGTCTGTCAATACACATACACACATGCGTGGTATTTGGGAAATGCTAGCTATTATTGTATGTTCACAATAAATGCAAATATTCCTTTGAAAACCACAGTCCCCCTGCTGCATTTTGCATCGGGGAACACTACACACAGCAAATGCAGGGCAGGCTACCGTGCAAACTACTTGTAGCTTCGTGTGACCAACCAGAGAATGAAGACTACTACGGCGGGCAGAGCCCGTGAGCGGCTCAGCCTCCGAGCCCGTGCGATCGGCACGCCTGCGGGCCGCCTGGGGAGTTTCCGAGAGAAACCATCCATGTGTTCGGTCGTGATTCGGGGCAAAGAATTCAAACGGGACCAAGGAAGCGGAAGCAAAGTCAGGCAGGCAGCGGCCGGGGCGGCTCCGTGGCGCGGAGAGACGCCAAGGAAAGCAACGGGGCCCCGACCGGAGAAGGGAGAGGTCAGAGGTGTGAACAGCCGGGGGCAGAAGGGAGAGGGGGTGCATCTCCCGCCCCTCGGTCCGCGCAGAGCGCCCCGAAGCCGCCCGGCGGCGTCCGTGAACAGCCGCGCCGCGGGAACCACGCTCCGGCCGCCATGGCCGCCGCCCCCGGCCGGCGGGCCCTCCGGTACCTCTGCAGGCCTTTGTCCATGAAGCACACATCCCCGCAGCTGCTGTCGCCGTCCTCATTTTCGACTTCTGCCTCCACCGCCGACTGCATGGTACCGGCGACGGGGAGCAGGGAGGTCTTAACTGGCGTCCAGCGCTGAGACTGAATGGAACACGTCTCCTCAGAGCTCGGCGGGACCGACGGCGGGGGCGTGGCCACCTGCGGAGAAGGCGTGGCCAGCGGCGACCGGGGCGGGGCCACAGCCCTCCAACCGACAGTCCGGCTCTTTCCCGCCCTGCGGGTGCCGTAAAACCTGGAGCCTGGTCTCCCAAGAAGAGTTTCTTTTCCTTTTACGACATCTGGAGTGCTAGTCTTGGGCCTTGCGACACATCGCAGCCGTTCTCTGGGCATGTTTGAGACCGAAGTGAATGGGACTTTGCTATTTGCTTTTGTACGAGGTTTCCGTGGTAGCCTACTGCTTTCTGAAGGCGGCTCACAGCGGTTTGGCTTTACATGTCTTGACATTGTCTTACATACGCATAAATTGTTCCCTCACGGGCCGTGTACACCCCGTTGATTCATTAAGCAGGCCGGAGACACCTTGGGGTCCGTATTCACCGTGGTGCCACGGGGAATGAGAGAAAGCGCAGCCACGATTCGGGACATCGAAACCAGTAACTTAGCGCGACGTGAGTGGTGGGACAGGTCCTTACAAAGTCGTCCAGTAGGCTGGTACAGAAAGAGGGAAAGTGGCGGCCGGAAGAGTAACGCGAGGGCTCAGCACTAGCAGCACAGGTTTGTTAGGAAAGTACTGCAAGGGGTCCTCCGGGAGCCAAAGGTAGAGACGCCCGATCTACCTGCGGCCCGAAGCCTCGTACTGCCTCTGAAAGACTGCTAGAATGGCCAAACCATTGGAAACGGATGGGGCAAATGGTGGGCAGCCCGGTCGCAGCCGGAGGGAGGGAGGAGCGGATCCAGGGCGCTTTGATCTGGTTACTGCTGCGTCAGTGTGCTGGAAAGGCAGACGTGTTAGTTAGTGAATCTAGGCACTGTTCCGGGCTGCAAGATAAGAACACCTGACCTTGTGGGCCTAACGACGTTAAGCGGAATTCTGGGAATGAATGACACACGTGAGTAACAAAATACCTATCCAAGGACCTGCCTGGCCAGGTTGTTTTCTGAGACATAGTAATATTAAAACTAACAGAGAAGTGGTATCTCCGAGGTGATTCTAACACTATTCTGAATTAAAACCTTCAGTGATCCCTCAATAGGAACCAAGTAAGATTTTTGTATAAAAGTATTCATTAATATCTGTTATGTACTACATTAGGCCACCTATGTTATTATTATTTTTTACATAGAATGTGGAAGAATTGGGTTTACTATGCCTTCCAGAATCTTAAAAGTGTTTAGCAATAATTAAATTTTGTGGTTGGTACTCTATGTTAAAAATCTTTGGTTCTCTGAGTATTTTCTTTGTAATACATATTTATGTTATTCACAGTCTGCTTTATTTTATTTCCCTATATCCTAAAAATATTCCCAGGATATGTATCCCAATCTCTCCTTTATGTCTGAGTCTTTCCCCCCAGATCTCAGGGAAGATTTTCATCCTTTAATAAAACTACAGCCCCCCTACCACTTCCTGTTGACTTCCTCATATCTTTTCCTTGCTTTTATTTCTTCTCATGTACTTATGACCATTAACTTATAAATATTGAATTGCTGGACATCCACAATGCAGTTTTCTTATTTCATTTTGTTGCATTTTGCTCACTTAAGTGTTTTTAGTTTCTTCTCTCACTACAATATATAGTTCATAGCAGAAGGGAGTTTTGTGTATAAATTTTGTATTTCTGTATTTCCAGTTTCCAAAATAATACCTTGCATTTGGAAAACACTGAATAAATACTGAAGATATAAATGATTAAATGTTTGAAAGGTGTGAATGAATTCATTCTTTTGTAACTTCTTGGACATAATCAGTGAAGAAATTGTTTGCTAACTGGACTTGGAGCAATTTACTGTTCATTTGACATTTATATTAACATAAATGCATAATGGGTTGACAGACACACATATGTATACACATATATGTATATATGTAGACATACACACACACACATATACTCCAATGCCTTATAAAACTATTAAAGAAAACGAGTGGATTGTTATCTTAAATATTGTGGGATACAAAGGATTGGTTTTTTTTGTTGGTCATGGGGCTTGAACTCTGGGCCTGGGTGCTATCCCTCAGCCCTTCAGCTCATGGCAAGTACTCTACCACTTGAGCCACAGAGCCACTTCTGGTTTTCTGGTGGTTAATTGGAGATAAGAATCTCATGGAGGGGCTGGGAAGGTGGCTCAGTGATAGAGCACTTGCCTTGCATGCCTCAGGCCCTGGGTTCCATTCCTCAGCACCACATAAGCAAAAAGAAAAAAGCCGGAAGTGGCGCTGTGGCTCAAGTGGTAGAGCGCTAGCCTTGAGCTGAAGAGCTGAGGGACAGGGGCCAGCCCCAGAGTTGAGGCCCCACGACTGGACCCCCCCCCCCCAAAAAAAAAAAAAAAAGAATCTCATGGACTTTCCTGCCTAGGCTGGCTTTGAACCGTGATTCTCAGATCTCAGCCTTCTGAGTAGCTAGGATTACAGGTATGAGCCACCTGTGCTGCACTTGAGGATTTTTAAAGTAAGACAAAAAGCTTGAATAATGTATTAAAAATCAACAAGTTGACACTAGTGTGAATGAGTAATTTCTCTGTACAAAACATAGCAAGCAAAAATAAACACCCTTAATCTATGAAAGAATGCATAATTTGAGTGGTAATAGATATGTTTTTAAATGTTAAATAATAATAACCTGAATTTATATACAGTGATCACAAATGAATAAGAAAATGATTGTGTAGGTACTTCATAAGTGAAAACATAATAATGGTCGAAAATAAAGAACAGATGCTAGAGGCCACGTGGAGAAGATTGGAAGAGGTAACTGTTCAATAAGCACTAGACACATAAACTATGTTAATTATAACCCTGTGCACAATCATTTGAAGATTAAACAAACAAACAGAAAGATGAGAAGTAAACAAATGAATAGAAAGATGATAAGTAAAAAAAAATAGTTAATTGATATTGGGTTACTCTGACAAATACTAAAGAGCATGTGCATGTAATGGAGGGTATGGAGAGTAGTTAGAAATCTTAACTTACTGTTTTGTCATAGGAAGGAGAGAAATTGGCTAGAATCTAATAAATAAGAAGGTGATTTTCATTTTTCAAACCAGAAAATTTCACTCCTACATAGAACAAGATACATCCCTCTCACATATGCACATAAGGTCAGATACAAGAATAGACCATAACATTGCTTCTTTTTAAAATTATTATTGTAAAGGTGATGTACAGAGGGGTCCCAGTTACATAAGTCAGGTAATAAGTACATTGTTTTTTTAAATTTTTATTTATTTTTTATTGTGAAAATACTGTACAGAGGGGTTACAATTACATGGGCAAGATAATGAGTACATTTCTTACCAAGCATTGTAGCCTCCTCCTTTGTTTCCCCTTCCCATCCCTTTCCACCCCCCCATCCCACCCCCCCATCCTCCCCGCCCCCCACCAAAGTAAGTATATTGTTTTGTTTTTTCATTTTATTTTATTTTATTTTGTGAACATACTGTACAGAGGGGTTACAATTACATGAGCAGGATAATGCATACATTTCTTATTAAGCATTGCAGCCTCCTCCTTTGTTTACCCTTAACATCCCTTCCCAGCCTCCCCCCCAATCCTCCCCCCCCCACGCCCACCAACGTTGTAAAGCTCGTTTTCGACATGACAGCTTGTACTTCTCATTGTTGCAACAGGTCCACCTGTATCCTTAAACGACTTGTTTTTCCCCATCTCCTCCACAAGTTATACCGACATCAAATATAGTGGAAGCAGGGGTTATACTGTGGGGGAGGGACATACAAAGCAACAAAGAAATAATCTTATAAATGCGTTAGAAACAAATGCATGAAAGAAAAAAACATTAAAATACATATCTAAGGGTTCATTTTCCTAACATCACATTATCTGACCTTTTCTGCTTGACTCATATATATACTAGATATTGCAAATGAGGGAAACCATGGGACCTATGTTTCTTTGGGCCTGGCTTACTTCACTTAATATAATTTTTTCCAAGTCTTTCCATTTCCTAACAAATGGTGCAATGTCATTTTTTCTGATGGAGGCATAGAATTCCATTGTGTATATATACCACATTTTCTTGATCCATTCATCTACTGAGAGGCATCTGGGTTGGTTCCATATCTTAGCTATGGTAAATAATGCTGCAATAAACATAGTTGTGCTGGTAACTTTAGTATGGTCTTGTTTGTGATCATTTGGGTAAATGCCCAAAAGTAGGGTTGCTGGGTCATAGGGGAGCTCTATGTGAAGTCTTTTGAGGAACTTCCCTACTGCTTTCCAAAGCGGTTGAACAATTTTACACTCCCACCAACAATGCAGTAAGGTTCCCTTCTGTCCACATCCCCTCCAGCATCTGTTGTTGTTAGAGTTCTTGATTTTTGCCATTCTAACTGGGGTGAGGTGGTATCTCAATGTTGTTTTGATTTGCATTTCTTTTATGGCTAGGGAGGTTGAGCATTTCTTGATGTGACTACTGGCCCAACCCACCCAATCCTCCCCGCTCCCACCCCTCCCCCCCCACCAAAGTAAGTACATTGTTTTTTGACCAATCTCACATCTTCCTTTCTTTTCTCCCAGTTTCCCAGCCGCCCCCTGCCTCCCTCTGCTCTGACAACAACAGATCAGGAATAGTCCTGACTTTATGCAAACTGTCTCCAAGCCCTATCTCATATATCACTCAAACATAATAAAAATACGAATAGAAGATTTTTTTGTACTGTACTGTTATTTCCAAATGCATACTATTGAAAAAAAGATAGTCTTGGGGCTTGAATTTATTCTGGGCTCTGTCCCTAAGCTTTTTTGCTCAAGGCTAGCATTCCACCATTTTGAGCCATAGCTCCACTTCCTGTTTTCTGGTAGTTTAATCATAGGTAATAGTCTCATAGACTTTCTTGCCTGGCCTGTCTACGAACTAAGATCCTCAGATCTTAGCTTCCTGAGTATAGATAGGATCACAGATGTGAGCCACTGGCACATGGCCATAACAATAGATTTAAGTGCAATATTAAAATAGATAA